CCCCAAAACCCCAAAACCCCAAAACCCCAAAACCCCAAAACCCCAAAACCCCAAAACCCCAAATCATCCATCAGATTGAAACCATCATCTATCCAACTTTCTGCAAAATTTTCCTTATATAAACCCGCTTAGCAATCCAATTAAAACATAAATATTTAAATGTACAGAAGAAGAGGCTATAAGAAAGATATCAACCATAGTGAAGAGGCCAAGGACAGTGGAGAAGGAAGAAGAGGAAGAAGAGGAGGTAGAGGTAGAGGAGGCAGAGGAGGAAATAAGAGAGGAAGACTTACTCATTTTGTAGCAATACCTGTAGAGGATGAGACTGTGGTCACTAATCTTGTCCAGCTTCAGGATAAGTTGTTGGAGGAATATGCTGATGTGCTGTATCCTGGCTGGAAGATGCCACCTGGCAGGCTTCATTTTACGTAAGGATTTTGGTGCTGGGAGGGTGTTGATAGTGCTGCTTTAACATTTTAGAAAAGGGCTGATACATTTTATTAGGAGCAATAAATTTTAGAATCTGTGGAGGAATTTTTTGGTTTCTTTAACACGTTTGTTTTTATTTTTTTGTGAAAACTAATTCAAAAATATATTTCTTGTAATAAAATTTAAATAAAAGTTTGTTAAAATCCCTTCGCTAAGATATAAAATTATATCTACTTTTAGACTGTTTGTCATGTCACTTATTGAAGAAGAAAAGATTGCTGAAGCAATGGAAACTCTGAACCAACTCCAACCCAAGCTCAAAGAAATGATTGAGGAGACAAAATTTGAATTAGATGTAAGAAACTTTAACTAAATTTATAGCTCGATGGCATCAGTGCCTTCACAGGGAAAGATGGAGGTTCTACTCGAGTCTTATTTGCTAAACTAAAGAAAGATGAAAACTTAACACTTCTTGAGAAAATAGCCGACACTATCATTAAAGGATTCATCGAAGATGGTGTCCTTAAAGAGTCAGACTTAGACTTCCAAAAGTTAAATGCAGATACTGGAATGTAATTGGATAAAATAACTATTCTTAATTCTAGGTATGAACTCAATTTCCATCTGACTTTATTCAATGTCAAGTACGAAAAGGTTAAAGGTAAGTGCTAGAGGTTTCATATTCATAGATGTATATTTCTTCAATGCTGCAGGTAATTTTATTTCTTATTTTAAGATATACTTGAAAACCATAAGGATGATGGATGTGGAACATTTACTCCTAATAAAGTGACAATGTTCAAGATGAAGACCAGAGATGGATGCTATGAGATTGAACACGATATTGAAATCTAATTCTAATTTCAATTTACATAGAGAGAATAGGGGTTTTGGGGTTTTGGGGTTTTGGGGTTTTGGGG